TTTTTTTTTTTTTTTCTGAGACGGAGTCTCGCTCTGTCGCCCAGGCTGGAGTGCAGTGGCCGGATCTCAGCTCACTGCAAGCTCCGCCTCCCGGGTTTACGCCATTCTCCTGCCTCAGCCTCCCGAATAGCTGGGACTACAGGCGCCCGCCAACTCACCCGGCTAGTTTTTTGTACTTTTTAGTAGAGACGGGGTTTCACCGTGTTAGCCAGGATGGTCTCGATCTCCTGACCTCGTGATCCACCCGTCTCGGCTTCCCAAAGTGCTGGGATTACAGGCTTGAGCCACCGTGCCCGGCTAGAATTCCCTTTTAAATATAAAAGTATCTGGAAGGCCAGGTGCAGTGGCATGTGTCTGTAGTCCTAGCTACTTGGGAGGTTGAGATGCCAGGAATGCTTCAGGTCAGGAGTTCAAGACCAGTGTGAGCCACATAACCTCTTTTTTTTTCTGTCTCTACAAAAAAAGTTAAAATTAGCCAGGCACGATGGCATGTGCCTGCAGTGCCGGCTACCCAGGAGGCTGAGCGGGGAGGACTGCTTGAGCCCAGGAGTTAGAGGTTGCAGTGAACTAGCATCTCACCACTGCACTCCAGCCTGGGCAACAGAGCAAAACCCTGTCTCTGAAAAAAAGAAAACAAAATTTATTTGGGAAAGGTGCCTCCAAGCCTCTTTGAGATTCTCAAAGTCCGGTGAGCACGTGGTTCTAATAATCATTGGAGTATACCGTACAGTCATCTGATTGCAGATGTCCAGCCTCTGCTGTGATCGGCTACTGCCTTTGTCATAGTCGTTGTTAAATATTTTGAATATCACCATTATTTACAACTAAAATATTCCCTACATTACAAATGAAACAAAAAGGAGAATAAAGAGTTCAGGTTGCTGACTTAAAAGCATGCACTGGTATGGAAGGATTAATAACATTCCCTTGTGTTCATGGAGGACTTCAGATCTCTTAGACTGTTTTTACAGCAATTCTTTACACTGACCCTCAGAACAACTGAGATAGAGGAGAAAGAATGGGAAAAAGGAGGGTTGTGGGAGAGAGAGCGAGAGAAACCACAAGCTCCACTTTAACAAACATAGAGGCAAGTTACAGAGGTTTTGGGTGATCTGCCCATGGTCAAAGGGAAGGTGAGTAATGGAGGCCAGGCAGGATCCCAGCAAGTGTTCTGTCCACTCAACCACCAAGCTTTGGACTGGAACATCAAGTAGGAGCAGACCAAAGAGCGCAACAAGCGGAACTCAGCTCATCACTTCTAGGTTGTAACACTTTCCTTCTTTTTTCTCTACTCTTTATCTTGTCACGTTTAGTTCCATGGAAACTGGCAGAGCCAGATGGATTTCAGACAACTAAAACATATGTGGGGAAAGAAGGAGACCTTCCTTAAAAATACAAACCCTTCTCTTCCCTTCTGCAGCCATCACCGAAGCAGGAGCAGCCAAAATGAAATTCAATCCCTCTGTGACTTCCAATCGAGGCAAGAACTGCAAAAGGCATTTCAATGCAACTTCCAACATTAGCAGGAAGATTATGTCTTCCCCTCTTTCCAAAGAGCTGAGACAGAAGTACAATGTGTGATCCATGCCTATCTGAAAGGTTTTGATGAAGGTCAGGTTGTATGAGGACACTATAAAAGTCAGCAAATTGGCAAAGTAGTCCAAGCTTACAGGAAGAAACATGTCATCTACAATGAATGGGTGCAACGGGAAAAGGCTAATGGCACAACTGTCCACGTAGATGTTCACCACAGCAAGGTGGTTCTCACTAGGCTAAAACGGGACAAAGATGGCAAAAAGATTCTCGAACAGAAAGCCAAATCTCGCCAAGTAGGAAAGGAAAAGGGCAAATACAAGGAAGAAACAATTGAGAAGATGCAGGAATAAAGTAATCTTATATACAAGCTTTGGTAAAAACTTGAAACAAAAAAAATACAAACCTTGATCTCAATCTATAGGTTTCCTTTTGCTGGCCAACTGAGATTTAGTATGTATTGGATTGTAGTTGTAGGACGAGGGACAGGAAAAAAGGTTTTAAAAAGCTTTAAAATAAGCTACATTAAAATGATCATAAAAAACACAACTTTTTACTTTAGCAAATATAAAATTTCCGAGGTTACATTTAGAAGCCTTATCAAAAGTAGAGGAGCAAAGATACCAGACATAAATTAATCATAAGATCCAGTTCAAGCATTTCAATCACAGGAGAAAACTATAAATTGTAATTTATACAAAGTCTAGCTCTATTGCCAAGGCTGGAGTGCAGTGGCGCGATCTGGGCTCACTGAAACCTCTACCTCCCAGGTTCAAGCGATCCTCCTGCCTCAGCTTACCAAATAGCTGGGATTACAGGCGCCGACCACCATGCCTGGCTAATTTTATTTATTTTTACCACAGACAGGGTTTTACCATGTTGGCTAGGCTGGTCTCAAACTCCTGACCTCAGGTGATTCACCCGCCTTGGTCTCCCAAAGTGTTGGGATTACAAGCAAGAGCTACCGTGCCTGGCCCTGAATTAAATTTTTAACAGGAGGATTATAACCTGATTATAGGCCAGGCACCATGGCTCATGCCTGTAATCCTAGCAGTTTGGGAGGCTGAGGCGGGTGGATCACCTGAGGGCAGAAGCTCGAAACCAGGCCAGGCGCGGAGGCTCACACCTGTAATCCCAGCATTTCGGGAGGCCGAAGCAGGCAGATCACCTGAGGTCAGGAGTTTGAGACCAGCCTGGCCAAAATATTGAAACCCCGTCTCTACTAAAAATACAAAAATTAGCCAGGCATGTGGCACATGCCCGTAATCCCAACTACTCGGGAGGCTGAGGCAGAAGAATCTCATGAACCCAGGAAGCAGAGGTTGCAGTGAGCTGCGATTGTACCACTGCACTCCAGCCTGGGCAACAGAGGGAGACTCCGTCTCAAAAAAAAAAACAAGAAAAACGAGAATTACAAAGCGATATACAGGATGCGCGCGGTGGCTCATGCCTGTAATCCCAGCACTTTGGAGAGCCAAGGTGGGCAAATCACCTGAGATCAGGAGTTCGAGACCAGCCTGGCCAATATGGTGAAACCCCGTGTCTCTACTAAAAATACAAAAATTAGCCAGGCATGTGGCACGTTACTGTAATCCCAGCTACTCGGAAAGCTGAGGCTGGAGAATGGCTTGAACCCAGGAGGCGAGGGTTGCAGTGAGCCAAGATTGCGCCACTATACTACAGCCTGGGCAACAGGGAGGGACTCCATCTCAAAAAAAAAAGAAGTGATATACAAAATAACACATCGTAAAATTTGGAAACTTTCTAACATTGCTCTTCTGTAAACTGAAGAGAAATCATAGAGCTTTCCTAATAATGTTGTCCTGTGGACTCCATGTCGAGTGTCCAAATATTATATGTCAAGAGTTCTATCAGCCAGGCTGAGTGCAAACTCATTCCACCACTCAGCCTGGGTGACAGAACAAGAGCCTATCTCAAAAAAAAAAAAAAAAAAAAAAGGAAAGAGAGAAAAAGGAGAGAAAGAGGAGAAGAGGAGAGGAGAGAAAGAGGGGAGGGGAGGGGAGGGAAGGGAAGTGAAGGGAAGGGGGGGAGGGAAGGGAAGTGGGGCGAAGGGAAGTGGAGGGAAGGGAAGGAAAGGGAAGGGAACGGAAGGGAAGGGAAGGTAAAGGAAAGGAAAGGAATGTTGGGAGAATTTGACTCAAAATTTGAATTTTCAAATGGGTGCAGTAGTGTGTGCCTCTGGTCCCAGCACTTTGGGAGGCTGAGGCAGGAAGATCACTGGAATCCAGGAGTTTAAGCCATCCTGGGCAACAGAGCAAGACTCCATCTCTAAAATAACCTTCTTTTGGCAAAAAAGTTATGTGAGTGAATAATGTTGGCACAACTGACAAGTCATATGTAAAACTTATTCCATCCATCCCTCACTCCCTCTATAAAAGTAAACATAAGATCAACATGCCAAAACAAATAGTTTTAGTAAAGAAACATGACTAGGGCTGGGCACAGTGGCTCACACCTATAATCCTACACTTTGGGAGGCCAAAGCGGGTGGGTAAAATGAAATCAGGAGTTCAAGACCAGCCTGGCCAGCGTGGCGAAACCCCATCTCTACTAAAAATACAAAAATCAGCCAGGCATGGTGGCGTGAGCCTGTAATCCCAGCTACTGGGGGGCTGAGGCAGAAGAATCGCTTGAACCTGGGAGTCAGAGGTTGCAGTGAGCTGAGATCGTGCCACTGCACCCCAGCCTGGGCAACAGAGCAAGACTCTGTCTCAAAAAAAAAAAAGAAAAAGAAAAACATGACTAAATGTCTTTAACTTAGAATGGGGAGGGAATCTCTACACAGAACACAAAATTTAGAAGTTTAACAGAGGAAAAAAACTAACATGTTTGGCCATGTAAAACGTCTGTATAGGGAAAAAAAATCTTAGATGATTTTTTTAAAAAAATCATAGAACCAAAGGTCAAATCTAAAACTGGGAAATAAAATATTAGCAATATCTCAAAGAAAAAGAACTAACGTCCCACCTCCCAAACTCATAAAAATGAATATTTAAAAAACAGAAATAGGCCAGGTGAGAATTTGAGGAGTTTGAGATCAGCCTGGGCAACATGACAACCGTCTCTACAGAAAATACAAAAATTGGCCGGGTGCAGTGACTCACGCCTGTAATCCCAGCACTTTGGGAGGCCAAGGCAGGCAGATCACGAGGTCAGGAGATCGAGACCATCCTGGCTAACACGGGAAAACCCCATCTCTACTAAAAATCCAAAAAATTAGCCGGTCGTGGTGGCGGGGGCCTGTAGTCCCAGCTACTGGGAGGCTGAGGCAGGAGAATGGCGTGAACTCGGGAGGCGGAGCTTGCAGTGAGCCGAGATCGCACCACTGCGCTCCAGCCTGGGTAAGAGCAAGACTAGGTCTCAAAAAAATTAAAAAATAAAAATAAAGAAAATACAAAAGGGCCGGGCGCGGTGGCTCAAGCCTGTAATCCCAGCACTTTGGGAGGCCGAGACGGGCGGATCACGAGGTCAGGAGATCGAGACCATCCTGGCTAATACGGTGAAACCCCGTCTCTACTAAAAAATACAGGCCGGGCGCGGTGGCTCAAGCCTGTAATCCCAGCACTTTGGGAGGCCGAGACGGGCGGATCACGAGGTCAGGAGATCGAGACCATCCTGGCTAACACGGTGAAACCCTGTCTCTACTAAAAAAAATACAAAAAACAAGCTGGGCGAGGCGGCCGGCGCCTGTAGTCCCAGCTACTCGGGAGGCTGAGGCAGGAGAATGGCGGGAACCCGGGAGGCGGAGCTTGCAGTGAGCTGAGATCCGGCCACTGCACTCCAGCCTGGGCGACAGAGCGAGACTCCGTCTCAAAAAAAAAAAAAAAAAAGAAAATACAAAAATTACCTGGATATGGTGGCATGTGCCTGTAGTCCCAGCTACTTTTGGGAGGCTGAGAGAGGAGGATGGCTTGAGCCTAGAAGGTGAAGACTGCAGTGAGTTGTGATCACGCCACTGTACTCCAGCCTAGGAGACAGAGCCAGACCCTGCCTCAAAAAAGGAGAGAAGAGGAGAGGAGGGAAGGGGAGGGGAGGGGAGGGGAGGGGAGGGGGAGGGGGTAAGAGAAGTGAGAGGAGAGGAAAGAGGAGAGGGAAGAGAAGGAAAGGAAAGGAGAAGGAAAGGAATTGCTAATCATGGTTGTCTCTAGGGAATACAACTATTTTTACGTATAGGAGTAGTTATTACTATAGTCATAATTCGTTACAATTTTTTTAAAGAAAAAAGATAAATTTTGAAAAGTAATGGCTGGTCCAAGTGAAGTGCAGTGATGTTTAAAACTCATTGATCACAATCAGTTACAGTTTTCTTTGTTTTTTCTCCATTCACACTGCATTACATGACTAGCCTTCAAAAAAATTTTTTTTAATTTTTAAACATTTCCAAAAGTAGAACTGTCAAAGAGAATGCAAGCTTTTCACGTAGTTACAAGTTGAGACTATTCCTTATCCTCTACTGTAAAAGGACTATTTTTCAGTTGGCGTATGATAATTTCATATATATAACTGAATATAGAAAAACAACAAATGTGTGCTACTAAATCAATGTCACACTTTTTATTTTAATACATAACTTTTTTTGAGGATGCACCCAGGAAAAAATACAAGTCACAGGACACCTGCAACCTGTGCTTTCCTCAATGCCACTCATATAATCTAAACCAAATTAAGTATTTTAACAGAAAATTAATTTGTCAGAAATAAAATATACCTAACTCCTCTTACCTGCCATAGATCCAGCCATTAATCTGTGCACATGACCCGAAATTCCCAGCTTCGTAGTAATTAACTAGAAAACAAGAACACTGAATTAAATGAGATATTTTTTAAATGCTGCCCATTTTACTGTTTAATAATGAAGATTTATTTCAAGAGTTACAGGACTAATAAAAAGAAAATTAATAATAAATGTGAACGAAATGAGCACAATTAAATACAACTTGGCAGTATTATATCACAGCAAAGGGGATGTTTCCTCTGCAGTCTCTGCTTTAATTTTTTGCGTTTCTGCAGAAGCAAACTAGCTTAGAATTGCTAAATATATGATATTGTGTATTAAGGAACACAAGCCCTTAACAAGTGACTGAAGGTAGTAGGAATAAATTGCTACTTTTTTTTTTTTTTTTTTTGAGACGGAGTCTTGCTCTGTGTCCCAGGCTGGATTGCAGTGGTGCAATCTCAGCTCACTGCAACCTTCGCCTCCTAGGTTCAAGAGATTCTCCTGCCTCAGTCTCTCAAGCAGCTGGGACTACAGCCACATGCCACTACGCCTGGCTAATTTTTTATTTTTTAGTAGAGACGGGGTTTCACCATATTGGTCAGGCTGGTCTTGAACTCCTGACCTCAGGTGATCCACCCACCTCGGCCTCCCAAAGTGCTGGGATTATAGGCGTAAGCCACCGTACCTGGCCTAATTTTTTATTTTTATTTTTTTTAATGCTCTATAGACAATGAAGTCCTGATATACAAATGGTATCAATTCTCTCTGGCTGACTAGCTTAGAAGCTTAGAGTGTTGCTCTGATCTCTGCTGCTTGTTCTTTTTTTTTTTTTTTTTTTTTGAGATGGAGTCTCACTCTGTCGCCCAGGCTGGAGTGCAGTGGCGGGATCTCCACTCACTGCAAGCTCCACCTCCTGGGTTCACACCATTCTCCTGCCTCAGCCTCCTGAGTAGCTGGGTTCCACCATGTTAGCCAGGATGGTCTCGATCTCCTGACCTCGTGATGCACCCAGGCTGGAGTGCAATGGCACAATCTTGGCTCACTGCAACCTCCATATCCTGGGTTCAAGCGATTCTCCTGCCTCAGCCTCCTGAGTAGCTGAGATTACAGGCATGCGCCACCACATCTGGCTAATTTTGTATTTTTAGTAGAGAAGGGGTTTCTCCATATTGGTCAGGCTGGTCTCGAACTTCTGACCTCAGCTGATCCTCCCACCTCAGCCTCCCAAAGTGCTACGATTACAAGTGTGAGCCACTGCGCCCAGCCAGTTGCACTATTTTATTTAATAAGAAAATCCAAAGTCACAGTGTTCCTCTCCTACAATTGAGTAACAAAAAGCACACTAAAGGCTGGAGCCCACGGATGGCTTGGACCCAGGAGTTCCGGATTAGCATGGGCAACACAGTGAGACCCCACCTCTACAAAATGTTTTTTAAAAAATTAGCCAGGCCTCCTCTCCACCACTGAAAAAGAAAGAAAGAAAGAAAGAAAAATTAGCTGGGGGTGGTGGCACATGCCTCTAGTGCCAGTTACTTAGGAGGCTGAAGTGGGAGAACTGCTTGAGCCCATGAGGTTGAGGCTGCAGTAAACCATGACCACGTCACTGCACTCCAGTCTAGGAGACAGAGAAACTATCTCAAAAAAGAAAGAAAGAATAGACTAGACTAGACTAGACTAGACTAGACTAGACTAGAAGGAGGGAAGGAGGAAAGGGAAACACATTAAAAATATATTAATATTTTATGGATTTATTATCTTCTTTAAAGATACTCTAGCTTTCATTCATGAGGAGTGAACATAAAGAATTTACTTGGCCGGGTGCAGTGGCTATGCCTGTAATCCCAAGACTTTGGGAGGCCAAGGCGAGGGATCACCTGACATCAGGAGTTCCAGACCAGCCTGACCAACATGGTGAAACCCCGCCTCTACTAAAAATAAAAAATTAGCCAGGCATGGTGGTGCATGCCTGTAAGAATGTAGGAGGCAGAGATTGCAGTGAGCCAAGATCATGTCATTGCACTCCAGCCTAGGGAACAAAAGTGAAACTCCGTCTCAAAAAATAAATAAATAAATAACTCATAACTGACTAACAATTATGGAATCAGTAACTCCAAAGACAATTTATATTTAAAAGCTTAAGCTATCACAAGTCTTACTCCTTTAAAAAGGCATTGCTATATCAAAAATAACTTTTTGGCCCGGTATCATGGCTCATGCCTGCAAGACCAACACTTTGGGAGGCCAGGAGTTCGAGACAAGCCTGGCCAAAATGGCAAAGCCCTGTCTCTACTAAAAATACAAAAATTGGCCAGGCATGGTGGCACAGGCCTGTAATCCCAGCCACTCAGGAGGCTGAGGCAGGAGAACTGCTTGAACTTAGGAGGTGGAGGTTGCAGTGAGCCTTTCAAAATAGTGTCACTGTACTCCAGCCTGGGCAGCGAGACTCTGTCTCAAAAATTTAAAAAAAAAAAAAAAAATTAAAATTTTAAAATATGAAACTTTTACATATTTTTAAATGTCCAAAGCAAATGCCTGGTCAAGCATGCATGATATTCAAGAATGCAAAAGAGAAAAGATCAAAGTTTAACTACCGTTTTATAATGCTCAAATGCCATAAACTGGATTGCACCATAGGGAAAGATTCGAATCATCATTGCACCATTTCCTTTATACAATCCAAGGAATCCTTCTTTTTGAGGAACAGCACGCAATGCAGAAAATACTCCTATTTTTAGAGGAAAAATGCTGTTAAAACAGAGAAAACTACCTAAATCTAAATTTTCATGACAACCACAGATATAGATTAATGTGCCATCACTTGGGACATAATTTTGCTTAAGGGATTACATGAATAGTAATTTCTATAAAACAGCTAAACCTACTAAAAATACAAAATATATCCAAATAATATAAATAAGCACACCCCATATAATATAAAACCTACTGTAGAAACAGCTACAAATTACAACCAATTCTATTTATAATAATAGCAAATTATATTAAACTATAGCAATCTAAAAAATATTAACAAAAGAAATATATGCAAGGTCTGGGTTTGCACTAAAGATGATCTACTCTTTTTTTTTTTTTTTTTTTTTGAGACAGTTTCATTCATGTTGCCCCAGCTGGAGTGCAGCGGTGTGGTCTGGGCTCCCTGCAACCTCCGCCTCCCTGCACTCTCCGCCTCCCAGGTTCAAATGATTCTCCTGCCTCAGCCTCCCAAGTAGCTGGGATTACAGGTGCCCGCCACCACGCTCTGCTAATTTTTGCATTTTTAGTAGAAACGGGGTTTCACCATGTTGGCCAGGCTGGTCTCGAACTCCTGACCTCGTGATCCACCCGTCTCGGTCTCCCAAAGTGCTGGGATTACAGGCGTGACCCACCATGCCTGGCCCTGAAGATGATCTACTCTTATCTGGAAGGATGAAGGCAAGTTTCAGAGGCCTACCCAGATACATGTGTTTTGTTTGTTTACATAAAGAGACTTTTAAATAAAACAAGCAAATAAAAAGACTACCTATTAATACTCTTTAAGTGTGGGGGCAAATTTTCATTATTAGGACACTTTAGGAATAATGATAAACAAAGGGCTGAGTTGTAATCTATATACAGTGATATTCTGAGCTTTCTAACTGACAAGTAAAAAATATAGATATAGATACATCTATATATAGTTATATCTTTATTACTTTATTAACATCAGTCACTAATCCTACAAGCAGTATACAGACTTCTCAAAAACACATGACTACTTCCATTATTCAACAATTTAAATTCAAGTTCCCTTTCAAATTTTTCAAGCAAACTTTTGATCAAATATGAAAGTAAATCACCAGGCTCATTTCAAATTTTAGACTGCAAATAACCTTTTCAGCCCTTCTCAGTAATTAAAATTGTAGGTACTTATTAACATCCAAAAGATATATCCCAAAAGTATCTCACAATAAGCAGATATCTAAATGTACTAACATTCTGTTAAGAAGAATCCTGGCGTTGCGTGGTGGCTCATGCCTGTAATCCCAGCACTTTGGGAGAACAAGGCAGGTGGATCACCTGAGGTCAGGAGTTTGAGACCAGCCTGAGCAATATGGTGAAACCTCGTCTCTACTAAAAATACAAAAATTAGGCAGGCATGGTGTCCTGCGCCTGTAATCCCAGGTACTCAGGAGGCTAAGGCAGTCTGACCTACATGATGAAACTCTGTCTCTACTAAAAATACAACAATTAGCTGGAAGTGGTGGCAGGTGCCTGTAATCCCAGCTACTAGGGAGTCTGAAGCAGGAGAACTTTTTGAACCCGGGAGGCGGAGGTTGCAGTGAGCCAAGATTGTGACACTGCACTCCAGCCTGGGCAATCAGTGAAACTCTGTCTCAAAAAAACAAAACAAATTGGGATAAGGAGAAATTTTAAATATACTCCTTCCTTATAATTTGAGGAAAATAATTTTAATATAAAATAAGAAGTACAACCAGGCACAGTGGCTCATGCCAATAGCCTGAGCACTTTGTGGGGCCAAGGTGAGAGGATCGCTTGAGCCCAGGAATTTGACACCAACCAGCCTAACTCAGCCTCCCAAAGTGCTGGGATTACAGGCGTGAGCCACTGCACCTGGCCTTTGTCTTTTTTAATACAGTTTTTTTTTTTTTTTGAGACATGGTCTTATTCTGTCACCCAGGCTGGAGTGCAGTGGTGTGATCACAGTTCACAGCAGCCTCTACCTCCTGGGCCCAAGCAATCTTCCTGCCTCAGCCTCCTGAATTGCTGGGACTAAAGGCAAGCGCCACCATGAGACCAGCCTGACCAACATGGTGAAACCTCGTCACTACTAAAAATACAAAAATTAGCCCAGCATGGTGGCACGCACCTGTAATCCCAGCTACCTGGGAGGCTAAGGTTGAAACCAGGAGGCAGAGGTTGCAGTGAGCCAAGATCACACTACTGCTCTCTAGCCTGGGTAACAGAGCAAGACTCCATCTCAAAAAATAATAAATACATAAATAAAAGACATATAAAATAAAAACACGTCTTTGATGCCTTGGAAGTAATGTCACACTTTTTATAAGAAGTTGGAGTAGAAGTAATAGTTTTGTCCGATAACATATCTTTATCATCTGTGAAAAATCATGTTTAAAAAAGCAAAATTTGGCCAGGCGCGGTGGCTCAAGCCTGTAATCCCAGCACTTTGGGAGGCCGAGACGGGTGGATCACGAGGTCAGGAGATCGAGACCATCCTGGCTAACACGGTGAAACCCTGTCTCTACTAAAATACAAAAAAAATTAGCCGGGCGAGGTGGCGGGCGCCTGTACTCCCAGCTACTCGGGAGGCTGAGGCAGGAGAATGGCGTGAACCCGGGAGGCAGGGCTTGCAGTGAGCTGAGATCCGGCCACTGCACTCCAGCCTGGGCAACAGAGCCAGACTCCGTCTCAAAAAAAAAAAAAAAAAAAAAAGCAAAATTTTAGGGGCTGGGTGCAGTGGCTCACGCCTGTAATCCCAGCACTTTGGGAGGCCAAAGTGGGTGGATCATCTGAGGTCAGGAGTTCGAGACCAGTCTGGCTAACATGATGAAACCCTGTCTCTACTAAAAATACCAAAAAAACAAAAAATTAGCCAGGTGTGGTGGTGAGCACCTATACTCCCAGCTACTCGGGAGGCTGAGGCAGGAGAATTGCTTGAACCTGGAAGGCCAAGGTTACAGTGAGCCAAGATCGCACTGTTGCACTCCAGCCTGGGTGACAAGAGTGAAACTACATCTCAAAAAATAAAAAAATGGACAGGGCGCAATGGCTCACGCCTGTAATTCCAGTACTTTGGGAGGCCGAAGTGGGCAGATCACCAGGTCAGGAGATCGAGACCATCCTGGCTAACACGGTGAAACTCCATCTCTACTAAAAACACAAAAGATCAGCCAGGCATAGTGGCATGTGCCTGTAGTCCTAGCTACTCGAGAGGCTGAGGCAGGAGAATTGCTTGAATCTGGGAGGCAGAGGTTGCAGTGAGCCGGTATCATGCCACTGCACTCCAGCCTGGGCGACAGAGCAAGACTCCGTCTCAAAATAAATAAACACATGAAAAAAATTTTCGAAAAAAGCAAAATTAAAAAAAACCATCTTATACCTACAAAAAGTGGAGAGGTACCTGAAATAAAATGCTTAAAAGCATTTAAAAAAATAATAATAAGGTTGGGTGCAGTGGCTCACTCCTATAATCCCAGCACTTTGGGAGACCGAAGCCGGCAGATCATGAGGTCAGGAAGTTGAGACTAGCCTGGTCAACATAGTGAAACCCCATCTGTACAAAACATACTAAGGCTTGGTGGCAGGCACTTGTAATTTGAGCTACTTGGGAAACTGAGGCAGGAGAATCTGGCCTTGAACCTGGGAGGCAGAGGTTGCAGTGAGCCAAGATTATGTCATTGAACTCCAGCCTGGGCAACAAGGGTGAAACTCTGTTTCAAAAATGAAAAATTAAATTAAATTAAAAGCCACCAAAACAGATTTATTTTTTTGAGGGGGCTTGTATATATTAAAAATAGAGGACATTCCAAAGACTACTATAATAGTTCACTGTTGCACTCCAGGAATTCACTCCAAATTTTATACGCCCTGTAGGGTATACTGTAACCAGGGTACACTGTAACCCACAGCATGTAGCCCTATAGAGCGTGAAATCTAATATGAATATGTAACCTAATGACTGCAAATCAGGAAACAAAACAACACACATCAGCACAGGGAGGAGGTTAAAGGAATAAAAGAATCCTGTTCAGACACTGATACCCAGGGTCATTGTAAAACACCCCAAGACACTGGGTAATATCATTCTTCTCCATTTTATCCTCAATTTAGACAACAAAATAAAATAATTTCCTTCCTTTCCAGTTTTTTATAATCTCTCAACAAGTTCACAGGTCTAATTCTTTCTTTCTTTTTTGGAGACAGAGTCTCACTCTGTTGCCCAGGCTGGAGTGCAGTGGCACAATCACAGCTCACTGCAGCCTCAAATGCTTGGGATCAAGCAAGTCTCCCACCTCAGCCTCCCAAGAGTACTGGGACTACAGGCACATGCAACCACACACATTTAATTTTTTTTTTTTTTTTTTAAGATGGGGTCTCACTCTATCGCCCAGGCTGGAGTACAGTGGCACAATCTTGGCTCACTGCAACCTCTACTTCCTGGGTTGAAGCAATTCTCCTGCCTCAGCCTCCTCAGTAGCTGGGATTACAGGTCTGCGCCACCATGCCTGGACAATTTTTGTATTTTTAGTAGAGACAGGGTTTCACCGTATTGGCTAGGCTTACACATATTTAATTTTGATTCTTTATATATATGAGCAATAAACTGTGTGAGGAAGAATTCATTGCAGAGGCAGGGCACAGTGGCTCATGCCAGTAATCAAAGCACTTTGGGAGGCCAAGGCAGGTGGGTCAAACAGCTTGAGCCCAGAAGTTTGAGACCAGCCGTGGCAATATAGAGAGATCTTGTCTCTACAAAAAATTTAAGACATCCTGTCGCAAATAAATACATACATACATATATAAATACATAAATAAGTCTAATAAAAAACTAAATTAAAGATAAATGATAATTCACTCCTGGATATGAAGATAGTTGCAATTTTCCTATTTCAAAGTACAGACTTCCTCAGTATTAAAAATGTCAGCTGGGGCTGGAAGTGGTGACTCATGCCTGTAATCCCAGCACTTTGAGAGGCCGAGGCAGGTGGATCAACTGAGGTCAGGAGTTCAAGACCAGCCTGGCCAACATAGTGAAGCCCCATCTCTACTAACTATACAAAAAATTAGCTGGGCATGGTGGCAGGTACCTATAATCCCAGCTATTCGGGAGGCTGAGGCAGGAGAATCGCTTGAACCTGGGAGGCGGAGTTTGCAGCGAGCTGAGATCACGCCATTGCACTCCAGCCTAGGCAACAAGAGCGAGACTCCGTCTCAAAAAAAATTTTTTTTGGCTGGGCAGTAAGGTCCCACGCAGTAATCCTAGCACTTTGGGAGGCCAAGGCAGGAGGATCACTTGAAGTCATGAGTTGAAGACCAGCCTGGGGAAAAAGTGAGACCTACTCTCTATTTTTTTTTTTTTAATAAAAAATAAGAAACCAGCCTGGTCAAACATAATGAAACCCTGTCTTTACCAAAAATACAAAAATTAGGTGGGTGCAGTGATGCATGCCTGTAATCCCAGATACATAGAAGGCTGACACAGGAGAATTGCTTGAACCCAGGAGGCAGACGATACCATGAGCTGAGACCGCGCCACTGCACTCCAGCCTGGGCAATAGAGCAAGACCATCTCAAAAAAAGAAAAAAAAGGAGAGAGAGAGAAAAAAAGAAAAGAAAAAATACTGACAAGAAAATGAGTTACAATTAATATACTACATAAATATCCATTCAGGATTGTAAGAATGACACTTTTAAAATGCAGTTGGAAAAATAACTGATTGTTATTCACCCTGTTAAACATCTTTCTATAAAACGATATTATAAAAATCAAGCACAGTGGCCACGCATGGTGACTCATGCCTTTAATCCCAGTACTTAGGGAGGATAAGGCGGGCAGATCACCTGAGGTTGGGAATTCGAGACCAGCCTGGTAAACACAGTGAAATCCCATCTCTAGTAAAAATACAAAAATTAACCGGACATGGTGGCACACGCCTGTAATCCCAGCTAGTCAGGAGGCTGAGGCAGGAGAATAGCTTGAACCCAGGAGGCAGAGGTTGCAGTAAGCTGAGACTGAGCCAGCCTGGGCAACAGAACAAGACTCCATCTCAGAAAGAAAGAAAAAAACTAACACAAATAATGTTTTGGCCGGGAGCAGTGGCGTATGCCTATAATTTCAATACTTTGGGAGGCCAAGACAGGCAGATTATTTGAGGTTAGGGGTTCGAGGCCAGCCAACATGGCGAAGCCCTGTCTCTACTGAAAATACAAAAATTAGCCAGTCATGGCGGCGGGTACCTGTAATCCCAGCTACTCGTGAGGCTGAGGCATGAGAATGGCTTGAACCCTGGAGGAGGAGGTTTCAGTGAGCCAAGATCATGCCACAGTACTCCAGCCTCTGGGCAACAGAGCAAGACTTTGTCTCAAAAAAATAGTAACAATAACAAGCTGGGTGTGGTGGCTTACACCTGTAATCCCAGCACTTTGAGAGGCTGAGATGGGCAGATCATGAGGTCACGAGTTCCAGACCAGCCTGGCCAATATGGTGAAACCCCATACCTACTAAAAAATATAAAAGTTAGCCGGGCATGGTGGCGCACACCTGTAGTCCCAGCCACTCAGGAAGCTGAGGCAGGAGAATCGCTTGAACCCAGGGGGCAGAGGTTGCAGTGAGCAGAGATCACACCACTGCACTCCAGCCTGGGCAACAGACTGAAACTCCATCTCAAAATAATAATAATAATAATAATAATTAATGTTTTGATCCTTGCATATGATTATTGACCACATTTCTGTTTACTTCCTTAGAATAATCTCCTAAAACTGGAACCGCAAGGTCAAAGAATAGATACTTCTTGAGACTTTTACGTATATTACCAAAATGCCCTCCAAAAGACTAAACAATTCTTATTCTCACCAATGACAAGTTATTAAAGTGTCCATGTTAATCGAATGGCTGGTTTTAAAGGAACAACTAAGGTCTTGTTTTTTTTTTTTTTTTCAGATGAAGTCTCGCTCTTGTCCCCCAGGCTGGAATGCAATGGCTCAATCTCAGCTCACGGCAACCTCCACCTCCCGAATTCAAGCAATTCTCCTGCCTCAGTCTCCCGATTAACTAGGATTACAGGTGCCTGCCACCATGCCCGGCTAATTTCCGTATTTTAAATAGAGACAGGGTTTCACCATGTTGGCCAAGCTGATCTCGAACTCCTGACCTCAAGTGATCCTCCTGCCTCAGCCTCCCAAAGTGCTGGGATTACAGGCATGAGCCACTGAGCCCGGCCTAAAGTCTTCATTTTTTAATTTTTAACCAAGCAAGCGGCTGGGCACAGTGGCTCACACCTGTAATCCCAGCACTTTGGGAGGCCGAGGCGGGCAGATCACCTGAGGTTGGGAGTTCGAGATCAGTCTGACCAACATAGAGAAACCCTGTCTCTACTAAAAATACAAAAATTAGCTGGGCGTGGTGGTGCACGCCTGTAATCCTAGCTACTTGGGAGGCTGAGGCAGGAGAAGCACTGCAACCCAGGAGGTGGAGGTTGTGATGAGCCGAGATGGTGCCATTGCACTCTAGCCTGGGCCACAAGAGAGAAACTCCGTCTCCAAAAAAACAAGAAGAGAAAAAAAAAAAGCAAGCACTGGATTCTTCTTGCACAAAGATTTCTAGAATGCTTTTTTTAATTAAGTGTTAAAAAGGAGTAATTGGCCGGGCGCGGTGGCTCAAGCCTGTAATCCCAGCACTTTGGGAGGCCGAGACGGGCGGATCATGAGGTCAGGAGATCGAGACCATCCTGGCTAACACAGTGAAACCCCGTCTCTACTAAAAAATACAAAAAACTAGCCGGGCGAGGTGGCGGGCGCCTGTAGTCCCAGCTACTCGGGAGGCTGAGGCAGGAGAATGGCGTGAACCTGGGAGGCGGAGCTTGCAGTGAGCTGAGATCCGGCCACTGCACTCCAGCCTGGGCGACAGCAAGAGACTCCGTCTCAAAAAAAAAAAAAAAAAAAAAGGAGTAATTATTTCAGTTTTACATTTTTAAATCTCATCTCCTATCTCTTATTGCATTTAAAAAATCGGACTGAAGCCAGGTGCAGTGGGTCACGCCTGTAATCCCAGTACTTTGGGAGGCCACGGCAGGTAGATCACCTGAGGTCAGGAGTTAGAGACCAGCCTGACCAACATGAAGAAACCCCGTCTCTACTAAAAATACAAAATTAGGCCGGGCGCGGTGGCTCAAGCCTGTAATCCCAGCACTTTGGGAGGCCAAGACAGGTGGATCACGAGGTCAGGAGATCGAGACCATCCTGGCTAACACAGTGAAACCCCGTCTCTACTAAAAAATACAAAAAAATAGCTGGGCGAGCTGGCAGGCGCCTGTAGTCCCAGCTACTTGGGAGGCTGAGGCAGGAGAATGGCGTAAACCCAGAAGGCAGAGCTTGCAGTGAGCTGAGATCTGGCCACTGCACTCCAGCCTGGGCGACAGAGCGAGACTCCATCTCAAAAAAAAAAAAAAAAAAAAATACAAAATTAGCCGGGCATGGTGGCACATGCCTGTAATCCCAGCTAGTAAGGAGGCTGAGGCAGGAGAATCACTTGAACCTGGGAGGCAGAGGTTGCAGTGAGCCAAGGTCGCGCCATTGCACTCCAGCCTGGGCAACAAGAGCAAAACTCCGTCTCAATAAATAAATAAATAAATAAATAAATAATAAAAAATCAGACTGAGTTGTTATGTGTGCCTGCGAACAATGTGACTAATTAATCCCAATAAACACGTAACATTTACTTCAATTATTCCAAGATTTGGGCTAGGAAAATATCAGCATCCTAAAATGATAATATATATAACCACTACTGCAAATGAAAGGATTATAATGGATAAGAAAAATATTCTTTGGAAAATTTGCCCCCTTTCCTTTTTTTTTTAATTGCCCCCTTTCAAGTTCCTGAATCTACAGAGAAAAAACAAAGAGCAAATTTGCCCGTTTGAAATGCTTGTTTCCTGGTGCCGTAAAGAAACAATTCTTGAACATATATTTAAAGTACTTAGCAAGGTCATTTTTATTTTTCGCAGAAAGGGTACACTCACCAGCAGTTTTGCCATGAGAGTACACCGAACAAAGGAGAAACAGGGTCATTTATAACCTGACTTGTCCACCCTACTGTTGTGTCCTGTTTCCATTGACTGGAATGGGACCTCACATCCTATGTTTGTCCCGATTGGCTAGCAATTTAGAACTTTTTAAAAGAGGCAAAGGAGAACAAAGGAAGGAGAAATTAACGTGTGGAATCCTGTGAAAGGTCAAAAAACACCTTTAAATAAGGAAGTGGAACAGGCTGTGACTAATGCTTGCAAAACACCTTCAAATAAGGAAGAGGAACAGGCTATGACCTAATGCTTGCTTGGAGCAGAATAAGCATGCCAGGGCAAATATTTACACTAAATTGTGGGAGCTAAGAAAATAAAGTACTTTGATTTTTTTTTATCATGGCTAGCAGATATTTAAGAATGTTAGCACAAGTCTTTGAATAAATTTTGCTTTTTAAAAGAAGTTAGTATTTATTCCTAATTAAATGGGGAAAAAGTCTTTAAAGAGGAACCTCTACTTTACTTTTTGCATCCCCAAACTTAAATTCCCTTTTTTGCCCACTTTCCACAATATTTTCATTCATTTTTATCTTTAGCATCTATTAACTCACCAAAATGCTTGTAATGGCGATTGTGAGCTTGTAATAAAACCTTTACTCGATCCAATGGAGCAACTGTTGTTTTGGCACAGCATCCAGCAATACCTAAAAATTTTTCAAAAGGTCAGGAAGAAATTGCGTACCATTTCTTTCCAGATAGAAATCATTAGTTGTTCAGCCAGCAAACCCTCTAATCTCTAATTTAGTCTCCATGAGTAAATCTGCCTACAGCATGGACATGCAGATGCCTGGTCCCCACTCCCTGTAACTTAATAAGTGAGCATGATTACACTACTTTAGTAAGTTTTATTGTGTAAATCAGCATCTAATACCTGAGGAACACTGGGAATCTTGCTAAAATGTGATTATGGAGACAGACACTTGAAGGTATTTATCCAACTGCCAGGTCCTGTTTGAAGTAACCTCCTCTTCTTCTGGAAGATTTTTATGGAGACAGACACTTGAAGGTATTTATCCGATTGCCAGGTTCTGTTTGAAGTAACCTCCTCTTCTTCTGGATCATTTTTTCATTGAAACAACCAACTTTTACCCATAAAATTAGTCATTCATTTATACATTCAGCAAATATGTATTTTGACCCTACCATATGCCACTGGGAAAAAGTATAGATGAAAGTAGAATAAAGTGCATACATGGGCTTTAGCATAGGTCAGAGTCCAGGCCAGCCCCTCGAGCTTGGCATGCTTCTAAATCAACTATATAGACTTCTCTACAATATTGTACATCTAGTAATGACTTGATAAAATGGGTGCCTCCTCTTATAAAAAGGTGAAAAATAAGCCAGGCCCAGTAGCTCACACCTGTAATCCCAGCACTTTGGGAGGTCGAGGTGGAAAAATTACTTGAGACTAGGAGTTTGAGACCAGCCTGGGAAACACAGTGAGACCTCATCTCTATAAAAAAATTTTTAAAAATCGGCCGGGCGCAGTAGTTCATGCCTATAATCCCAGCACTTTGGCAGGTTGGGGCGGGCAGATCTCCTGGGGTCAGGAGCTCGATACCAGCCTGGCCAACATGGTAAAATCCCGTCTCTATCAAATATACAAAAAAAATTAGTGAGGCATGGTGGCAGGCACCTGTAGTCCCAGCTATTTGGGAGGTTAAGGCAGGAGAATCCCTTGAACCCAGGAGGCCGAGGTTGCAGTGCACCAAGATCACGCCATTGCACTCCAGTCTGGGCAGCAAAGTGAGACTGTCTCGAAGAAGAAGAAAAAAAATTAGCGAGACATGGTGGTATGCCTCAATACTCAGAGGCTAAGGCTGGAGGATCACTTGAGCCCACAGTTGGAAGTCGCAGAGAGCTATAATTGCGCGGCTTGGCTCCAGCCTGGGTAACAGAGCAAGATCCAGTCTTTAAAAAACAACAAGTCCAGGCACGGTGGCTCATGCCTGTAACCCAGCAATTTGGGAGGCCAAGGCAGGCGGATCACTTGAGGTCAGGAATTCGAAACCAGCCTGGCCGACATGGTGAAATCCCATCTCTACTAAAAATACAAAAATTAGCCAGGCATGGTGGCGGCTGCCTGTAATCCCAACTACTCGGGAGGCTGAGGCAGGAGAATCTCTTGAACCCGGGAGGCGGAGGTTGCAGTGAGCTGAGATCACGCCATTGCACTCCAGCCTGGGTTACAGAGACTATATCTTAAAAAAGGGGGGAAAAAAAAAAAAAAAAAAAAAAAAAAAAAAACACACACACAGACACAAATAAAATTTTAACTTTAAAAATCCACATTCTGAGATATCCAAAAATAAATTGTGGCTGGGAGCGGTGGCTCACGCCTGTTATTGCAGCAGTTTGGAAGGCTGAGGCGGGCAGACAACGAGGTCTGGAGTTCAAGACCAGCCTGGCCAACATGGTAAAACCCCACCTCCACTAAAAACACAAAAATTAGCCGGGCATGGTGGTGCATGCCTGTAGTCCCAGCTACTTGCGAGGCTGAGGCAGGAGAATTGCGTAAACCCAGGAGGCAGAGGTAACAGTGAGCTGAGATCACACCACTGCACTCCAGCCTGAGCGACAGAGTGGGTCTCTGTCTAAAAAAACAAACAAACAAAATAAATAAATAAATAAAATGTATATTTATACTCAAATATTATATCTACTATGTTTCCATATCAAAGCTCTCTTATCCGAACTAATGAAAATAATAGTTGGTCAGGCGCAGTGACTCATACCTGTAATCCCAGCACTTTGGGAGGCCGAGGCGGGCGGATCACCTGAAGTCAGGAGTTCGAGACCAGCCCGACCAATATGGAGAAACCCTGTCTCTACTAAAAATACAAAATTAGCCTGGCGTGGTGGCGCATGCCTGTAATCCCTGCTACTCGGAAGGGTGAGGCAGGATAATCACTTGAACCTGGGAGGCAGAGGTTGTGGTGAGCCGAGATCACGCCATTGCACTCCAGCCTGGGCAACAAGAGCGAAACTCCGTCTCAAAAAACAAAAAAAGGCTGGGTACAGTGGCTCATGCCTGTAATCCCAGCACTTTGGGAGGCTGAGGCAGGTGGATCACGAGGTCAGAAGTTCAAGACCAGCCTGGCCATAATGGTGAAACCTTGTCTCTACTAAAAATACAAAAATTAGCCAGGTGTGGTGGTGGGCACCTGTAATCCCAGCTACTCAGGAGACTGAGGCAGAAAAGTGCTTGAACTCAGGAGGCAGAGGTCTCAGTGAGCTCAGATTGCGCCACTGCACTCCAGCCTGGGTGACAGAGTGAGACTCTGTCTCAAAAAAAAAGAGTAAATCATAATAATGGCTATCCAAAATTGTGGATAAACTAAAAATAATATGCATTTGGTTTTAGAATATTATATATTATCTTCTCAGTTGTGTACGAATTAACTGTATAATGAATTATTTAGGCCAGGTGCAGTGGCTCACGCCTGTACTCCCAGCACTTTGGGAGGCCGAGGCAGGCAGATCACCTGAGGTCAGGAGTTCAAGACCAGCCTAGCCAACATGGTGAAACCCCATCTCTACTAAAAATACAAAAATTAGCTGGGTGTGGTGGCACATGCTTATAATCTCAGATACTTAGAAAGCTGGGGCAGGAGAATCGCTTGAACCCGGGAGGCATAGGTCACAGTGAGTTGAGATCACACCACTGCACTCCAGCCTAGGTGACAAGAATGAAACTCCGTCTCAAAAAAAAAAAAAAAGAGAGAGAAATTGTTTAGAATGTATTCAATAAGTAGTTTTATTTAATAGTATCTTTTTTTTTTTTTTTCCAGGCTGGAGTGCAATGGCATGATCTCGGCTCACTACCACCTCCGCCTCCCAGGTTCAAGTGATTCTCCTGCCCCAGCCTCCTGAGTAGGTGGGATTACAGGGACCTGCTGCCACGCCCAGCTAATTTTTTTTTTGTACCTTTAGTAGAGACGAGGTTTCACCATGTTGGCCAGGCTGTTCTTGAACCCCTGACCTCGTGATCTGCCTGCCTCGGCCTCCCAAAGTACTGGGATTACAGGCATGAGCCACCACACCCAGCCTATTTAATAGTATCTTACCTTGCTTTCACACTACAGTAGAACCCCCTTATCTGCAATTTCACTTTCTGCAGTTTCAGTTACCACCAGTCATCCATGTTCAAAAAATATTAGATAGACAATCTGTAATAAGCAATTCACCCGGGCACAATGGCTCACACCTATAATCCCAGCACTTTGGGAGGCCTAGGTGGGAGGATCACTTGAGGTAAGGATTTCAAGGCTAGCCTGGCCAACTTGGCGAAACCCTGTCTCTACTAAAAATAGAAAAATTAGGCTGGGCGTAGTGGCCCACACCTGTAATTCCAGCACTTTGGGAGTCCGAAACAGGCGGATCACCTGAGGTCGGAAGTTCGAAACCAGCCTAACCAACATGGAGAAACACCATCTCTACTAAAAATACAAAAATTAGCTGGGCGTGGTGGCGAATGCCTGTAGTCCCAGCTACTCGGGAGGCTGAGGTAGGAGAATCGCTTGAATCCAGGAGGCAGAGGTTGCAGTGATTCAAGATCGCACAATTGCACTCCAGCCTGGGTGACAAGAGCAAAACTCTGTCTCAAAAAAATAAATAAATAAATAAAAGGTCGGGCGAGGTGGCTCACGCCTGTAATCCCAGTTTTGGGAGGCTGAGGCGGGCGGATCACGAGGTCAGGAGATCAAGACCATCCTGGCTAATAGTGAAACCCCATCTCTACTAAAAACTTCAAAAAATTAGCCAGGCGCGGTGGTGGGTGCCTGTAGTCCCAGCTACTCGGGAGGCTGAGGCAGGAGAATGGCGTGAACCCGGGAGGCAGAGCTTGCAGTGAGCTGAGATCGCGCCACTGCACTCCAAGCTACTCGGGAGGCTGAGGCAGGAGAATGGCGTGAACCCGGGAGGCAGAGCTTGCGGTGTGAGCTGAGATCGCGCCACTGCACTCCAACCTAGGGAGACAGAGGGAGACCCAAGGTCTCAAAAAAAAAAAAAAAAAAATAGCCAGGCAAAGGGCCAGGCATGGTGACTCACATCTGTAATCCCAGCACTTTGGGAGGTTGAGGCGGGCTGATGGTGAGGTCAGGAGATTGAGACCATCCTGGCTAACAAGGTGAAACCCCGTCTCCACTAAAACTACAAAAAATTAGCCAGCGTGGTAGCATGTGCCTGCAGTCCTTGCTACTCAGGAGGCTGAGCCAGGAGAATCGCTTGAACTTGGGAGGCAGAGGTTGCAGTGAGCCAAGATCACGCCACTGCACTCCAGCCTGGTGACAAAGTGAGACTCTGTCTCCAAAAACAAAAAAAAAAAAAAAAAAGGAACACACAGACACACACATACTGACATTTAATATCAAGTGCCAATAAGGCAGTGGGGATACAAAATGAAATAGACACTTTAGAAATACTTTGACAGTTTCTAATTAAAACACAAAAAATTAGCCGGGAGTGGTGACGGGCGCCTGTAGTCCCGGCTACTTGGGAGGTGGAGGCAGGAGAATGGCGTGAACTCAGGAGGCGGAGCTTGCAGTGAGGCGAAGCTTGCAGTGAGGCGAAGCTTGCAGTGAGGCAAGATAGCACCACTGCACTCCAGCCTGGGCAACAGAGCAAGACTCTGTCTCAATAAATAAATAAATACTTTGACAGTTTCTAATTAAAACCGGGCCGGTTGTGGTGATTAATGCCTGTAATCCCAGCACTTTGGCAAGATGAGGCAGGAGGATCATTTGAGCTCAGTTCCAGACCAGCCTGGCCATCAAGGCAAAACCCCATCTCTACTAACAGTATAAAAATTAGCCAAGCAACATGCCTGTAATCCCAACTATTCTGGAGTCTGAGGTGGCAGAATCGCTTGAACCCAAAAAGCGGACATTTCAGTGAGTGGAGATGGTGCCACTGCACCCAGCCTGGGTGACAAACCAAGACTCCATCTCAATAAATAAAAAATAAACACAATGAGGATCGGTGTGGGGGGTCACGCCTGTAATCTCAACACTTTGGGACGCCAAGGTAGGCAGATCACTTGAGGTCAGGAGTTGGAAACCAGTCTGGCCAACACGGTGAAACCCGTCTCTACTAAAAATACAAAAATTAGCTGGGCGTGATGGCACGCACCTGTAGTCCCAGCTAATCGGGAGGTTGAGGCAGTAAAATCGTTTGAACTCGGGAGCCAGAGGTTGCAGTGAGCCGAGATCATGCCACCACACTCCAGCCTGGACAACAGAGCAAGACTCTGTCTCAAAAAAAAAAAAAAAAAAGAAAAGAAGGAAATATATTACTTACACGTGCAATGTGAATGAATCTTAAATGCATTAAGGTAAGTGATGGAAGTCAAACTCAAAAGGCTACATACTGTATGACTCGATTTATATATCTTTCTGGAAAAGTCAAGACTATAGAGATAGAAAAACAGATCAGTGGTTGACAGGGGTTGCAGATGAGAGGAGAGGGATGTCAAAGAAAAGTGGAAATAAAGCCTGGCACAGTGGCTCATGCCTGTAATTCTAACACATTGGGATGTCAAGGCAGGTGGATAACTTGAAGTCAGGAATTTGAGTCTGGCCAGAATGGTGAAACCCAGTCTCCACTGAAAATACAAGAATTAGGCCAGGCACGGTGGCTCACACTTGTAATCCCAGCAGTTTGGGAGGCCGAGGCGGGCAGATCACGAGGTCAGGAGATCAAGACCATCCTGGCTAACACGGTGAAACCCCATCTTTACTAAAAATGCAAAAAATTAGCCGGCTGTGGTGACAAATGCCTATAGTCCCAGTTACTTGGGAGGCTGAGGCAGGAGAATCGCTTGAACCTGGATGGTGGAGGTTGCAGTGAGCCAAGATTGCACCACTGCACTCCCGCCTGGGCAACAGAGTGAGACTCCTTCTCAAAAAAAAAAAAAAAAATTGCCAGAAGTGGTGGCACCCACCTGTAGTACCAGCTACTCTGGAAGCTGAGACAGGAGATCACTTGAACATGAGAGGTGGAGGTTGCAGTGATATCAGGCCACTGCACTCCAGGTTAGGCAACAAAGCGAGAATGTCTCAAAAAAAAAAAAGAAAAGTGGAAATATTTTGGAACTACTCTATATCTTGACTGTGGTGGTCATTACACAACATGTTTGTCAAAGTGCATTTTACTTAGCCAACAATGATAGCTCTTTTCTTTCCCCTTTCATGGAATCTGGCTCTGTTGCCCAGGCTGAGTGCAGGGGTGCAATCTGGGCTTACTGCAACCTCCGCCTCCCGCGTTCAAGTGATTCTCCTTCCTGAGTCTCCCAAGTAGCTGGGACTACAACAGGTGGGCACCACCATGCCCGGCTAATTTTTGTATTTTTTGTACAGACTGGGTATCACCATGTTGCCCAGGCTGGTCTCCAACTCCTTAGCTCAAGCTATCCACCCAATTCAGCCTCCCCAAGTGCTGGATATAGAGGCCTGAACCACTGCACCCAGCGATAGATATTTTGTTCTCTGATTTATACCAAGCAAGTTGGAGGGACATAGCTGGGACTCATTTCCATGTGAATAAATGTCATTTCTTTTTTTTTTCTTTTAATTGAGAGGGAGTCTCGCTCTGTTGCCCAGGCTGGAGTGCAGTGGAGCAATCTCGGCTCACAGCAACCTCCACCACCCAAGTTGAAGGAATTCTCATGCCTCAGCTTCCCAGGTAGCTGGGACTATAGGTATGTGCCACCACGCCTGGCCATTTTTTTTTTTTTGTATTTTTAGTAGACATGGGGTTTCACCATGTTGGCCAGGCTGGTCTTGAACTCCTGACCTCAGGTGATCTCCCCACCTGAGCCTCCTGAAGTGCTGGGATTACAGGCGTGAGACACCTCACCTGGCCTAAATGTCATTTCATCAGCAGAAGAACAAAATAATTAAATTCTGAGGCCTGGATTGGTGGCTCACGCCTTTAATCCCAGCACTTTGGGAGGCAGAGGTGAGCAGAATGCTTGAGGCCAGGAGTTCGAGACCAGCCTGGCCAACACAGTAAAACCCTGTTTCTACTAAAAATATAAAAATTAGGGCCAGGCGCGGTGGCTCACACCTGTAATCCCACCACTCTGGGAGACCAAGGCGGGTGGATCACGAAGTCAAAAGATCAAGACAATCCTGGCCAACGTGGAAAACCCAATCTCTACTAAAAATACACAATTAGCTGGGTGTGGTGGCACACACCTATGGTCCTAGATACTCGGGAAGCTGAGGCAGGAGAATTGCTCGAACCCAGGAGGCAGAGGTTGCAGTGAGCTGAGAGGGCACCACTGCACTCCAGCCTGGGTGACAGAGTGAGACACCATCTCAAAAATAAATAAATAAATAAATTAGCCAGGCATGGTAGTGCACGCCTCTAATCCCAGCTACTTGGAAGGCAGAAGCAGGTAAATCACTTGAACCCGGATGCAGAGGTTACAGTGAGCAGAGATCGTGCCGCGCACTCCAGCCTGGCTGACAGAGTGAGACTCCATCTGGAAAAAGAAAAAGAAAAAAAAAAAAATAGCCGGGCCTGGTGGCATTCCCCGGTAATCCCAGCTACTTGGGAAGGTGAGTGAGGAGAATCACTTGAATCCAGGATGCAGAGGTTACAGTGAGCCGAGATCATGCCACTGGACTCCAGCCTGGGTGAGGGAGTGAGACTCTGTCTCAAAACAACAACAACAACAACAAAAACTTAATACTGCTGCAGTCTTCAGAAATGATCTTTCTACAAATCCTCATGTGAGTGTTTGCTTTGTTTTGTTTTGTTTTTGAGATGGAGTGTGGCTCTGTTGCCCAGACTGGAGTGCATGGCAGGATCTCGGCTCACTGCAACCTCCACCTCCCCAGTTTAGGCGATTCTCCTGCCTCAGTCTCCTGAGTAGTTGAGTGCCACCACGCCTGACAAATTTTTGTAGTTTTAGTAGAGACAGGGTTTCACCATGTTGGACGGGCTAGTCTCAAACTCCTGACTTCAAGTGATCTGCCCACCTCAGTCTCCCAAAGTGCTGGGATTACAGGTGTGAGCCACTCTGCCCAGCAAATTTTTATCGTTTTTTTGTTTGTTTGTTTGTTTTCTTCTTTTAGGAAAGGGTCTTTCTCTGTAGGTCAGGCTGGAGTATAGTGGTATGATCATGGCTTACTGGAGCCTCAATCTCCTGGGCTCAAGCAGTCTTCCTGCCTCAGCTTCCCTAGTAACTGGGACTACAGTAGTGCACCACTGCACACAAACTCAATGTGGAATTTTTAAATTTATGAATCTTAAATAAGTAATGACAACCCAGAGAAGTAATTAAGGAAGGGTGGAGCTTGAAGGCCCAGGAAATTCCTAAGCGACAATATGAACTTTTTGATCCCAAAGTCACACCAATAATAGGGCTTGTCAAGTACTGTGGCACAGTTTTTTTTTGTTTTGTTTTGTTTTTTTTTGAGACGGAGTCTCGCTGTGTAGCCCAGGCCGGAGTGCAGTGGCCGGATCTCAGCTCACTGCAAGCTCCGCCTCCCGGGCTTATGCCATTCTCCAGCCTCAGCCTCCCAAGTAGCTGAGACTACAGGCGCCCGCCACCTTACCTGGCTAGGTTTTTTTTTTTGTATTTTTTAGTAGAGACGGGGTTTCACCGTATTATCCAGGATGGTCTCGATCTCTTGACCTCGTGATCCGCCCGTCTCGGCCTCCCAAAGTGCTGGGATTACAAGCTTGAGCCACCGAGCCCGGCCTGTGGCACAGTTTACTAGAATCACTGGAACCAGTTTTGGCTCTAGATAGTTTTGCACAATTTTCCAGTCGTCATTAAAAAGCTGATCTCCAATATTTGTTTTCCTTTAAGCAAACAGCAAAATCCAAGTCTACACTGGGTCACTCATGGTTTTTATAAAAGAAAGGAGTGCCCCGCATGTTTCACTAAAACCCCAGGGTCTCTGTAAGGGATCCTCCTCTTTTCCCTGTTATCCAGCCCTGAAAAATGGGTACCTGATTCAGACCTTCCACCTCCCCAGCCTTTGCCGGAGAGCCAAAGGTTCCACTCCCCATTACCTGACTGTCATTAGTCAAGTGATTACTAGAAAGAGGTTACAGCAGGTCAGGGCAGACGTCTAGCAGAGCATTGAAGCAGCCAGAGTCCAGGAATGTCATAAAGGCCGCTTGCATCCCACTTGCCCACAATCCTGACCCCGCCACCCAGAGCGCGGCTGGCTCTTCGTGGCATGGACCCACCTCCGGCCAGAAAGGAGCGCAGCCAGTAGAAGTCTCTGCGGGCTGTGGGCCCTCCGGCCCCTGCCGCCTGCGGCATTGCAGGAGGGGGATCTGCCGCCGCCAGGGCTGCCGCGGCCGCCGCCGCCATCAGGACCAGGGTCGCGTCAGCAGCCTAGGTTGCCAACTTACAAAACACCGGACGGGACCATAGCCCGAACAGGCGGTGACAGGACGCTGACCGCCCCGCCAGCGGGGCAGAGTGACACCCGGCGGCACGGCGCGAGCTGATGGCGTACAGCAGGGGCGGGACCTGAGTCACGCGCCAAGGGGCTCAAGCGGTAGGGGCGGGGCCAGGACGCGGAAGGGGGCGTCACCCAGGCTCGTAAACTTCCCCATAGCGCCTCACCCGGCATAGACACTGTCAGTTTACTGCTCAGGCCCCTTCTTTTCGGACGGAAAAAGGGAACCGTAGGCAGTGAGACCGTCCCATTAAAACCCACAACCTGGCCGGGCGCAGTGGCTCACGCCTGTAATCCCAGCACTTTGGAAGGCCCAGGCGGACGGATCACTTGAGGTCAAGAGTTCAAGACTAGCCTGGCGAACATGGTGAAACCCCGTCTCTACTAAAAATACAAAAAAGTTAGCCTGGCGTTGGGTGGGCGCCCGTAATCCCACATACTGGGGAGACTGAGGCAGGAGAATTGCTTGAACCCAGGAGGCAGAGGTTGCAGTAAGCCGAGATCACGCCATTGCACTCCAGCCTGGGCGACACAGCCAGACTACGCCTTGGGGAAAAAAAAAAAAAAAAAGAAGCAGCAGCAGCAGCCAGGCGCGGTGGCTCACGCCTGTAATCCCAGCACTTCGGGAGGCCGAGGCGGATGGATCACAAGGTCAGGAGATAGAGACCATCCTGGCTAACACGGTGAAACCCTGTCTCTACTAAAAATACAAAAAATTCGCCGGGCGTGGCGGCGGGTGCCTGTAGTCCCAGCTACTCAGGAGGCTGAGGCAGGAGAATAGCATGAACCTGAGAAGCGCAGCTTGCAAGTGAGCCAAGATCGCGCCACTGCAAGCTCCGCCTCCCGGGTTCACGCCATTCTCCGGTTGCAGTGTCGGCAGATCGGCTTCTGGCTGCACTCCAGCCTGGGCGACAGCCAGACTACGCCTTGGGGGAAAAAAAAGAAGGCGCGTAAGCTTGTTTTTTCTGTAATCCCAGCAGCCTTCGGGAGGCCGAGGTGGACTCGGTCAGGAGATGGGAGACATCTCAACACGAAACCCTGTTCTACTGTAACACTGGCGCGTGAGCATGGAAATAATTAGCTGAGGCAGGAGATTAGCATGAACTCCGAGAAGCCGCAGCTTGCAAGTGAGCCAAGATCGCGCCACTGCACTCCAGCCTGACTCCAGAGCAAGATTCCTGCTCAGGAAAAAAAAAAAAAAAGGCCCACAATTTTTTTTTTTTTTTGAGACGGAGTCTTGCTCTGTGCCCCAGGCTGGAGTGCAGTGGTGCGATCTCGGCTCACTGCAAGCTCCGCCTCCCGGTTCACGGTTTATCCTCTTCCTGCCTCAGCCTCCTGAGTAGCTGGGACTACAGGCGCCCGCCACCGTGCCCGGCTGATTTTTTGTATTTTTAGTAGAGACGGGGTTTCACCGTGTTAGCCAGGATGGTCTCGATCTCCTGACCTCGTGATCCGCCCGCCTCGGCCTCCCAAAGTGCTGGGATTACAGGCTTGAGCCACCGCGCCCGGCAGCCCACAACTTTTTTTAGAAAGTTATCTCCCATCTCTTCCCTTGACCTATATTGACCACTGACCAGTAATCCGGTAATCGCCTATCGTGTTTTTTTTGTTTGTTTGGTTGTTTTTGAGACAGTCTCGTTCTATTGCCCAGGTTGGAGTACAGTGGCGAGATCTCTGCTCACTGCAACCTCCACCCCCTGGGTTCAAGCAATTCTCCCGCCTCAGCCTCCCTAGTAGGTGGGATTACAGGCATGCGATACCACCCCTGGCTAATTTTTGTATGTTTAATAGAGAAGGGGTTTTGACATATTGGCCAAGGCTGGTCTCAAACTCCTGACCTCATGGGATCCGCCCTCCTCGGCCTCCCAAAATGCTGGGATTACAGGCGTGAGCCTCTGCGCCCGGCTCTCCCAGCTGTATTCTGACCTCCCTAGGATACAGCCTTTCTAACCTCCAGCTTCTCGCTTTTTCAGGCATGTTTGGACTTGCTTTTATCTCCCACCAAATCAGCTCTGCTTTGTCAGAGCTCCTCACTGAACATCAGTTTCTGCCATCCCTAAATCCCCACTAAGCTTCCATTCCACCCCTACCACCTCTGCAAAATATTTTTAAAAATATATCACAACCAGGCCTGGCGCGGTGGCTCACACAGTAATCCCAGCACTTTGGGAGGCCAAGGCTGGCAGACCACCAGGAGTTCGAGACCAGCCTGGCCAACATGGTGAAACCCTGTCTCTACTAAAAATACAAAAATTAGCCGGGTGTGGTTGTGGGTGCCTGTGGGTGCCAGTAATCCCAGCTACTCAGGAGCCTGAGGCAGGAGAATCGCTTGAACCTGGGAGGTGGAGGTTGCAGTGAGCTGAGATCGCACCGTTGCACTCCAGCCTGGGTGACAAGAGCAAAACTCTGTCTCAAAAAAAATATATATATATATATATATGTATATAATATCTTGCTAAAGCAGGTGATTCTTTCTTTTCGGCTCTATACATTTCACAAATAGTTCTGCCTTTTCAGGCAATCCTGAATCTGTCTTCCACTTAGTTCTCCAATTTGTTTGAAATGTTTGTTTTTTGGTGCCGTAAATAAATAGCACTTGAATATAAATTTAATTTATTTAGTAAGGCCATTTTTACTTTTTGCAGAAAGGGTACACTCGCCAGCAGTTTTGCCAGGAGAGTACACCAAACAAAGGAGACAGGGTCATTTATGACCTGTCCCGTCTACCTTACTGCTGTGTCTGGTTTCCATTGACAGGAACAGGACCTCACATTTTGTATTTGTTTCGATTGGCTAGTAACTTAGAACTTTTTAAAAGAGGCATAGGTAGAGGGGAACAAAGGAAGGAGTAAGTAACTTGTAGAATGTTGAGAAAGGTAAAAACACTTTTAAATAAGGAAGAGGAACATGTAGTCCCAGCTACTTGGGAGGCTGAGGCAGGAGAATGGTGAGAACCCAGGAGGCGGAGCTTGAGTGAGCCGAGATCACGCCACTGCACTCCAGCCTGGGCAACAGAGTGAGACTCTGTCTCAAAATAAAGAAAGAGAAGTTATTATTTATTCCCAATTAGACAAAGTCGTTGAAGAGGAACCTCTATTTTACTTTTTACAAATTCCACTGAGTTCTGCTTCCTACCAACCTCAAGTCTCTGCCCTAAACTCTGAGGAACCTTCCAGGTTCATCTCCCTGGTCCCACTGCGTCCAAGACTCTATTTATTAACCACCATTTACAAGCATTTCTCTCTCACTGTGGACCCCACATCAGTTCCAGCCTGGACAAAACTCATTCCCAATCTTTGTGACCAAAGTTGTACTGAACTTTTATCTTCCCTTTCAGAAATTACCTATTATATTTTTACTAAATACTTATTCCAGCCTTCCCTTTACAGACACTGATCTCTTTCTTTTTCTGTGCATGTGCCTCTGCAAAACGTGCATTTGCAGATGTTCCAGTGTTCCAGAGCTTAGTCTATGGGTCTCTTCTCTTCTATGATTATATTTGCTCTTAGAGATCTCACCCAAGCTCGTGGCTTTTTTCTTTCCTTTTTTTCGATGAAGTTTCCCTCGTGTTGCCCAGGCTGGAGTTCAATGACACAATCTCGGCTCACTGCAATCACCACCTCCCAGGTTCAAGCAATTCTCCTGCCCCAGCCTCCCAAGTAGCTGGTATTACAGGCATGCGCCACCACGCCTGGCTAATTTTGTTTTGTTTTGTTTTGTTTTGTTTTTGAGACGGAGTCTCGCTCTGTTGCCAGGCTGGAGTGCAGTGGCCGGATCTCAGCTCACTGCAAGTTCCGCCTCCCAGGTTCACACCATTCTCCTGCCTCAGCCTCCCAAGTAGCTGGGACTACAGGCACCCGCCACCATGCCTGGCTAATTTTTTGTATTTTTTTTTTTTTTTAGTAGAGACGGGGTTTCACTGTGTTAGCCAGGATGGTCTTGATCTCCTGACCTCATGATCCGCCTGTCTTGGCCTCCCAAAGTGCTGGGATTATAGGCGTAAGCCACTGCACCTGGCCAAAATAAAATCACTCTTGTCACCACACTCTACCCCTCTAATGCATCTATTATAATCTGATGCACCTACTTCTGCAATGGCCCCTGAGCTTTGTGGGAGACACTGAAGTTATTTCCATGGCATGGGTGACATGTTGTCTCAGTTTGTTTTCTAGTTGTAAGCAGAGACTGCAGCAACAATACAACAGACAAGATATCATAGGTTGAATATAAGGCACAGAATTAAAAATGCCTTTGTCACCACGTTTACCCGTAGCCAAACCAGGAGGAGAGCCACTGGGAGAAAGAAAGGGTAGAGAAACACACTCTAGAAAGAGGTTCATTTCTCCTTCTGTAGGGCAGAGCACCAGGAGGAACAGAAGACTATGAGTGGAAATACAAATGCTTAGTAGATACTTGGTGGGAGAGTTCTTCTCCATCAAGCAGAATGACTGTGGTAGTTTCATCTCTGTTAGTGAGGACACAGGCAGCCTGAGGATTATGGCCTGAGGGTGCATACCAAACATGTTGCCCAAGGGACGAAGGTGCCAGTATTATGTGTAAGGCTACAGGAGCAACAAAAGACCATGTCAGACGGCTGACCGAGGTTCTCTTTAAAAGAAGCCTTGTTCCAATGTATTGGCGTGTGGAGCATTTTGGCCCAGACTCCAACAGGATCAATGCAGACCACTTACACTGGCCAGGAAATCCCTTGCTCTTTGGCAAGAAAGGCCCTATTCAACCTGGGGTAAGTTGCCAGTCCAACCCTCATTCAAGTGTCTCCTCCCCTTGCCGGGCGCTGTGGCTAACACCTGTAATCCCAGGACTTTGGGAGGCCAAGGCGGGCAGATCACCTGAGGTCAGGAGTTCAAGACCAGCCTGACGAACATGGAGAAACCCCATCTCTACTAAAAATACAAAATTAGTTGGGGTGGTGGCACATGCCTGTAATCCCAGCTACTTGGGAGGCTGAGGCAGGAGAATAGCTTGAACCCAGGAGGCGGAGGTTGCCGTGAGCCAAGATCACGCCATTGCATTCCAGCCT